TTTAATTCAAGAAGGAAAGGCTCAAGAAAGCCTGGAAACAGCTTATGGTGACTAATGATAATCTGAAATCAAGTTAATCAGGAAAATATTTAATTTTTATTCATTTGGCATAACAGACAACAGGAATCTCTGTCGGAACCATATCTTTTAACGAGTTCGCTATATACAAAACTTTCGAAATTTAGCATCTTGCTTGTGTCACCCCTGTAGGCAAAACTGTGCGTTGTTCTAAGCATTACTTTAAACTCATTTAAGGGCAAACTAGCTTATATGGTAACAAATCTGTGAATAAGATGATCACACCGGAAATATGGCGTTGGAAGAAACAATTGCAAAATATGCGACTGTTTGTTTTGCTTCTTGAGTGCAAATAGAGTTCAGGGTTGACTTCACTCACCGCGCAAACTTGGTCCAGTGAGATTTCATAAAGCAAGCAACCATAACTGTCGCAGTTATTCAACTGTAACGTTCGCAGGTAATGAAATTTTCTCATTATGGGTCACCTCATCCAGCAATAACGGGACTCTACCGAGACCAGATGTCTCGGCGTACTGTAGAGTCTCGTTGTTTCTAGCTGGTTAGATTGGTCATTCAAGTAGAAAAGGTCCATGGTATTTGAACACCTACAGTACATGATGAATCTCGCCTCATTTTTTCCGCTAGAATCACCTCATGCTCACCACAATGATTGGGCTGGCACTCCATATGTGCTGCCACATAAACAGTGGAAGAAAATGGAAGATAATGCGTAACTCTTGCAAGGCTCTGTGCTTGCCACATCTATAACTAGCTATTACGTATGTCAAAGAAATCGCGGCCATAAGGCACAAAAGTGAGGTATAATGGTCACAAGTCCAGTAAAATTCGTCTTCACTACCAGAGAGCACCATACTCCCCCTCCACGCCAGTTTCGAGCTTACTGGCAGGATGAGTTCATGCCAACAACGTGGCTTTCTCTCTTATTGGACATCCATCCTCCGCATGTTCGATGGCAAATCTCAAATCTAAGAAAAATCGAGAAATTGTAGTTCATTTATTTAGGCGTTCCACGTAGCTGTTGATCATCCAGTTATCAAATTTGATTACTTCTCGGCGTCGCTCTAGCTCGATACGTTTCAACACGGCCCTTTCGTTCAGCAATGA